ACCCGGAAATGGCGCTGCTGGCGGAGCACCTGCTGAAGCCGCTGCCCGCGGACAAGCAGATTGAGACCGGGCCCTTCTTGGAGGCGGTGTCCCACCTGCCGCCCTTCTTCGGTGAGCCGGGTTGGGGTGGGAGCTGGCCTGTTCCCTGATCTTCCCCGAAACACCCCTCCCCTAGACACCCGAGGCCTGTTTCCTACGGCCCTTATCCCCTTCCTTTCCGCGCAGCTCCGATTCTCCCTGCCTCCGCCCACTCCCACATTCCCTCTCCCCAAATGTGTTATAGCTTCCATCTCTTCCCCGACACTCCCAGGTCTTCCGTCCCCCTCAGACACCTCCCGTTCCTCCCCGTCCCACAGATGCACCCCGATCCTCCACCCCTTCAGGCACCCTCAATCGCCCATCTTCCTCAAACACACTTACTCCTGCAACTCCCCCAGACCTGCTCCAATCCTCCAGCTTTCCTCCTAAACATCCTACCCCCTCTCTCGCCGAGTTCTTCCCGTTTGCTGGTAAATTCACCCCACCTTTCCTCCCTATCGGAACCTCCTCATCCCCTCCGGGAAGGGCCTTTACAATGAATGAATCCTCTCTTCACTCCTCCAGCCTCTCCCTTGTGGGACTCGTGAACGTTCTTCTCCGCATTTCTACATTCTGGGGCAAAGACCCTCACCACCACTTCCAAGGGTTGGACAGGGGAGGGAGGGAGGGAGGGGGATTCTGAAGATGGAATTGCGAAAGTCTAGGGCCCTTTTCTATGGGAAAGCACCTAACATTTTTCCTCTGTGTAGGACGGGGCTCAGCATGGGGGGAGCTGTTCTGTGGGGTGATGTTATGCTCAGAGTGCTTGGCATGTATCCCTTCCTCGTTTTGGACTCTAAAAGCGGATGATCTCCTCCCCATTTGTCATGTTGAAGAGGTCGTGGCACCTCTGGGAAAGTGGTCTGTAAGCCATTTTCGGACTCTTTTTCTGCCCTCCCCTCCCCTCCCCCAGGCCAGGTCAGGCCCTGATGGAAAATGGGAAACTGAAGCCAATACCATCTACCTCTGCCCTTTGCCTCTCCCCACAGTAGAGGGTGCAACCTGAGCTTCTGCTTTCTTCTTGCCTGTAGGACTCTCCCAGTGTCCTGCCCTGGCTGTTCACTTGGTGGCTCTGTAGGAAGATACCAGCATCTGGGACAGAGTCCAGCTGAATCCCACAAACAGGCAGAACCTATGACTGGCTTGGGCTGAAGAGATTTGGCACCCAGGGCAGTCACTTGCTCTGCCTCTAGTTTATGATCAGGGCTTGTTGAGGGCAGTAGTCCCCCCCCCCCAATTGGCTGTGACCAGACTGAGTCACATCTCAGTTTTCCTCTCCACCTCTTGGGTCTCTGTGTCCCCATCCATGAAATGAGGATGCTGATCTCATTAGCCAGGAGGAGTAAAGGAGGGTGTGTAAGTGCCAACTCCGTGCTAGCTGGCTGGGGGCGGGGAGGGGTTTTATATCTGTAAGTTCCCAGAGGCAGTTTTTGTTCCTTCCCATAGTAGATGATTAATCAGTGCTGGGTGAGTGCCCTTGCCTGGTTTGTGTATCTCAGACCTGGGCCAGCAACCTGAGAGCAAGTCTTTGTCATTTACATCCACTTCTGTGTCCCCAGTGCCTGGAGTGGTGCCTGGCACACAGTGGGTGCTCAGTCATGCCAAATGCATGAAACTTTCTTAGTATCTTGGCTTAGGGTAATACTGCATCTCCGGGTGGGGGAGTGGGAGCTAATTTGCTTTACCACTAAGGAGTTATATTTGTAACCAGGTTGTATTGTTTGTTTGTTTCCTCTTTGGTACTATGTGTATTTGCAAGTCAGAGCCAGCTTGTCCTGGACAGGGATTCAGAATCTGTCTAAGCCAGTGGTTCTCAACTGAGGGGAATTTTGCATCTGGCAAATGTTTGGAGACTTTTTTGTTTGTCAACACAGTGGGTGTTCGCACTACTGGATGCTCCAGAGTGCTGCAGTGGTGTCATTAAGCATCCTACAATTCACAGGACTGTGTCCCCACCACAAACAATGATCCAGCCCCAAATGTCGGCAGCGTCCAGGTGGAGGATCCTAGGTTAAGCTCTCGGCCTTTCCCCCTTACCTTCAACAGAGGGTATATGTCAGTTCTGCACTGGGGGGCACCTTGGTTGGATGCGATTGTCTGGCCGGTTTGGGAGGAAAGGGAGTGGTGGCAGCTGGAGTCTGGGAAGAAGAGCATCCCCGCCTCCTTTCCTGGTCTCTAAGGACCCTTGTTTCTGCCGTGGTCCAGTGCTGTGGTGTCACAGCTGTGGACAGAAGCACCATTTAGACAAAAGCCAGTGGGGTAGGCCCACAAAGAGTTAACCACCCAGCGGCTCTGCTCACCAGGGTTGTTTGCAACTCACCAGAAGAGGAGAATTCATAGCACCCTTAAAAAATGAAAGTGATAATCCATTTAGAACCAGTTTTGCTCTTCCAGGAAGAAACTGCGGGTTTAAGACTTTGGTTGGAGGAAGGCTTTCCTACCCTGGCTTTTCTCTGAGGTTGCTTGATTTCTGCTGTCAGCTCCATTGCAGGAGCTTTGTATAGATTTGGGGAGCATCTCTCTGTTCGCCTGGATGATGTGGGTATGTGTGTGTCTCTCCAGCGGAGCTGGTCAGGAGTGATGGACGCAAGGAGTCGGCGAGGCATTGCAGTGACAGTTTCTTCCAAATCAGGGCTTTTCCATAGTGACACTGTTGATATGAGGGGCCGGGTCATTCTTGATGGTGGAGACGGGCTGTCCTGTGCTTTTTAAGGCGCTGAGCAGTATCCCCGGCCTCTGCCTAGTAGATGCCAGTAGCACCTCCTGTCCTGAAGTTGTGACAACTAAAACTATTTCCAGGAAGGCAAAGTCACCTTTCATTGAGAACTATTGCTTTAGAAATAAAATACAGTAAGAGACCGAAAGCTGTGTTTTTTAAAAAAGGTATTTAATTCTACAAGAGAGAACTAGTCATTGAAGGAAAATCTAGCAAAAGCTAATAATACCTGCTTTTTTTTTAGGAAGGAAAAGTTTATTTAGCTAAGAGTTTGTAGAGGTTTTAGTTCATAGTTGGCTAGTTCCAGCACAGGGCAGCATGGCAGAGAGGCGTTGTAGAGGAGAAACAGTCCATAGTGTGGCAAGTAGAAGGCAGCGAGCAGCAAGCAGAAAAGAAGCAGCAGAAGCAGCAGCATGAAACAGTAGAAGGTAATAATGCCTGCTATTTATTGAACACTTACTATGTGCTGCTCTACATCATTAGTTCATTAATCCTCCTACAATCTTTGGAAGTACAGTTTTTAAGGAAAGACTGCTGGATTTTGGATTATTTTACTTGTACACCCATGTATATCGATCTTTGAAAAAAAAGTGCATGACCTACTTTATCTGACAGTGCAGTCTGACTGTCTTTCCATGTCAGTTGTCATTTTTCATAGCTGCTTAAGAGTGCATCGTTTGGATATGGTCATAATTTTTTTAAGCTCTCCCCTACTGTTGGACACTCGGGTTGCTTCTTGTTTTTCACTCAGTGCTGTACCAAACTTTTTTTTTTTTTATTTAGCAAAACGTATATTGGTACATTTTAGGTGTACATGATTATAACATTCATCATGGGAATTTGTACCTGTACATGATGCGTCTTATTTCTTTTTTCCCATTCCTCTCACCTCCCTGCGACCCCTCTTTTCCTTCTATGGAAAAGCTTTGTTTCTGTTTTTTTCCTTCTATTTTCTTGTCCTTTCTCCCTCCCTCCCTCCCTCCTTGTTCCCCTTCTCATTTGAACGTTTTCTTCCCATTTCCCAATATCTATTCTCCATTTAGTCCTTACTTCCACTTCCGGTTTCCCACACCAGAGAAACTGTGTGGCCCCAGACATCTCTGTGCATGTTTCTTTGCACGGTTCTTTACGTATTTCTCGTTTTTAGAAGTCAAATGGCAGAGTCACAGGGTATGAAGGCTTTTAAGCTGTGGAGCAGTCACATTTCTTTAGTCTTTGCAGGGTGTGGTTTGTGACAGACTTGGCTGGGCTTGGTAAAGGCTGGTTCTTTCTGGCTAATGGGCATGGGCTGCGGTCAGCCTCCTGCTCATCTGGTTTAGGCCTCCTCACCTGGGGCTTGCCCTTTCTCCATATCTCTAGCCTGAATCTCGCAAGTTGTACAGGTTTTACTACATCCACTCAGAAGCCAGCCCTTTATCCATCTTTTTTCCCTCCCTTGACCCAGTAATTGGATCTTACCTGACTTATCAGTTTGCAAGACTGACTTCTGTGAAGTCTGCTTTCTCATTTTTTTAAGGTCAATTATGCAGCTGTCCTGGAGCATTAACAGTTGGTAAGCACAGATCAGGAGACTTAGATGTCATTTAGTCACGCCACTCCCTGCCTAGGAGCCTCAGTGGCTCCCTGTTACCTTTTCCCGGAAGTCTTTGCTATTGGCTTTCTGAATGGCTGGCAGCCCCACAGATGGCACAGTGGGAAGCTTTCCTGGCCACTGTCTTTTTGCCTGATGAATCACTCTGCTCTCAGCCCACCCCTTCCTTTTGTCTGGCTGGGTTCCACACCTCCTTAAGGAATTAGCTTATCAGTCACCTCACCCAAGGTCTTTCCTGACTTCCCTAGACTCAGAGCCTGTTACATTTTGTGACTTTGAGTTATTTCAGTGCCTAGCACTTGGTAAGCTAAAATATTTGCTGAATGCTTTTGGTTCCTTCCTGTTCTTCTGGGTTCTTGCTGAAAATGCTTTGCCTTTCTCTCTTTCCAAATTAAAATATATGATTTAATTAAAGCACATGACTAAATTGAAATATATAACCCCTTTGATAGCCTGTACCCAGCAGACATTATTAATCAATCATACTTTTCCCTTTTGAGCCTACATGTAGCCTTGGTATCTTTTCTTTTCTTCCTCTTTTCTTTCTTTTGTGGTAGCGGGGACTGAACCAAAGAATTGTGATATTGGATCTCTTTGCCCAAGGTCATCTCATCTTTGCACAGGCAAGACAGACAGCCCATGGGGTTATTGCACTGAACTACAACCCTGCCTTCCATTTTTGTTTCCCACAGGGGCTGCAGTCAAAATTTCAATCCTTGCCAGGTG